AACGCAGCCGCAAAGGGGACCGGTTCTGCAGCCAGTGAATGACTGAGCCCATCTTGATAAACTTGGAGCCAGATCAGCCCTCCCACTCCGTCAGGCAGGGGGCAAAAGAGGCTGAAAAACCCTGCCGTTTTGGGGCCCAATTTCACGAGGTCATGAGAGGCCATGACGCCTACCATGACGCCATTAGCGCTGCACAGGCCGAGGTCTTCCATCGGGATGATGGAAGGAGGCAGAAGTCGGACTGATCCAACGTGCCATTAGACTTCCTCTCTGGGGAACAGCGTGTGTCTACACGAACCCTATCCTGGACCGGGGTGGAGAAAGTGAAGAGCCTAGGGTGGGAGAAGTCCCTCTATGTCCCCATCTGCCTGCAGACAGTAAGGGTGTGCCTACATTAAGACCATCCCGAGAGCGTACAGCGCTGCTGCTGGTCGGGCTCTGACTTTCCCCCTTGCTAACCCTGTGACGCCCTTAACTGGCATGGACTGGGACTTTGGGGGCACAAGATGACAGGTATGGAAGGAGATGGAGGCATCGTCCTTTTAAACGCTGGGGCCAAGCCCCGCACCTGGAGGTCTAGATTTATAGGACAACTTTGCCCCGTTAAGACTTCCCAAAGCATTTCTGCAGGTGAAGGGGATGCCTGGACGTCCTGTGGGGGGAGAGGCAGCGGGGATCATCGGGGCTACGTGTTATCTGAGCCCTGGAGATGCCGCTCGGTTCTTCCAGAAAACAGGCTGCAACCAAAATAAGGATTTCTCAGCCAGTCTCTTGGGCAGACACAACTGAGATGGCACTGCCCGGTCCTGACAACGAACCCACCCCACTTCCTTGGGTGAATGCTCCCAAATCTCAGTCCGAGGCCCATCGTGCCAATGGGACTGCGGCAGGAGTGGGATGTGGACTTTAGGCTCCAGTCCCAGAGCTCTACCTCAGGCTTCTTGTTAGGACTTAAAACAACCCTTCCTTGTCCCTTGAGGTGAAGAAGCTTGAAGGCAGGGATCATGTAAACACCGTTAATTAAGGTAGCGAGAGCCAAGCTGCTCTCTGCTTGATGATATGGTGGGTGGAGAAAAGCTCTGAAGAAATCAGTTCTTCTCAGCCCCTGTGGAAATCTGGCACATACTATATAAAACTTGGATGTTTAAAAAGAACCTCCTTTTTTTCCCCTCCATTGCTACTCACGAGGGATCTCTCGCTACTAAAGCACTGACAGCTGGAACCACAGTGGTATCTGCAAAGACGGCATGGTCCAGCTCTTGCGTTTCAAGGAAGGGAGTATAAAAACGGGAACCCATCGCAGAACGTGCGGGAGGTGGCACAGCCGTCCCAAACGGTTACGTCCAGAAGGAAAGGGTCGTTCCCACAGCAGGAAAGGAGCACATTAAAACCCCAAACTTGGTATCAAACTAAAACAGAACAAACAAGGATTCGTTCAACTTTTCAGCACCTACACATTATGTGGCCTCTGTTTGGAAACACTATTCACTTAAACATATCTCAAAGGTTTCAGCAGGCTGTACAAATATGTTTAAGTATGGCTTTCGGTTGTTTCGTTTCTTTAGATGAAGACTGCAACACAGGCCTTGCTTCCTTTACATTCAATACGAATAAGATTCTACATAAAGGCTTTAAAGGACTAAAATACTGATTGCAATAAATATCTGCACGGCCCCCGTCAGCCGATGGAGTGTGCCAATGAAGTGAGGGGAGCAGAAAGGTCTCTGTGAGGCACCGCTGATTGCTTCTAAGTCTACACATATGTCCAGATACCTCCATTAACTGTGCGTTGAAACATCTGACGATGAGCTGCTGTTGCTATTGGTGGTCTGGGCCCTCTTTATGTACAAGTTTAGTAGCTTCATCTGAAAGGGAAGGTGAAAGGGGTTATCTGGAGATCAAACATGCTGGCAAAGGAAGAGTGCACGAGGTTTAGAGGCAATGGGTGCGAGATCCCTAAATTCAGCCCCCTACACTGTGCTTTGTGGGGGAGCAAGGAGCCCATTTGGGGTTCTTTGTAATTCGAGTGAAAATCCACTGATTGGCATAACCAGAAATGCTATTATCAAAATAATAGCTGAGAATGCTGATGAGCAGAAAAAACATCTGGGGGGAAAGCCGGTTTCCATGGAGGGGAAGGACAAAACTCCCATTTAAGAGAGGGGAACAGGGCCGTTTCATCTGTGGATTTTCAAATTAATTCGGGTTGCATTTATGCATGTTCCCGGGCATGACATGGACCCCGCAGTCTGATCTATGCAGGCAGGAGCCCAGGGACCATGCAGAGAGGCGGGGATCTGCTCCCTGGCCTCAGGCTGTGGCCTCGGTTAGGAAAACCTCTGAAGTCTCTGCAATCCGGGAAGCCATGAGCCAGCCCGTGATCGAGGTCAGTACTAATTCAAATTCTTGTGATTTTAAAACAAATGAAAATCTCATCAAAATTCTTAAGAGCTAGTGAAATCATGTGGCTGCTTGTTTCATTTGCCTGGATTAGTAGTATCCAGATATCTGACCAGCTTAGCCCCAGACCCTACACAGACGCATCCATGTGCAAAGCTTTGAACACACAGGTTGGCCGATGGAGTACAGCAGGCTGCCGTGCGAGCTTTAAATGAAGCATGTGAGTCAATCTTTTCACAACCCAGGTTCATAATAAAATGACTGCAGCACTTTCCACTCACGGATCTTAAAGCCTGTTGCGTCTTTGCAGGATGTCGAGCTAAACTGGTTCGAGATTTTCCCATTTTTATAGGGAGGGGAACTGAGAAACAAGTAACTTGTTTGAAGACAAAATAACTTGGTAAACCAGGAACCAAATGCAAGTTTTCTGGCTCTCAGTGCACCCCTAGACATAGACCAGGCTTCCTAGCTATGAAAATCTACTCCACTTCCAAAGAGCAGGCTTGTGTCTTGAACCCAAGAGCTAACAACATGCACAGAGCCATTTCAGAAGCAGCAATACTGAATCTGTTTGAAAAGTTTGGAGAAACCTCAGTTTTGTGGCTCTGTGATGCAGTGACATTACCTGGGCTGTTTAGATAACTTGAGAAGTCAGTTAATCTAAGTCTGCAAACAGACATCTCAGGATAAATCATTTTATCCCAGGACAAAATGCAATTGCACAGGTGTTCTCCTGGGATAAATGCTAAAAAAAAAAAAGCATGCCAGGTACCAATAACTAGTAGTTCAACCTGGGATATTGCAAAAGTATGTCTGAACAGTTATCCCAGGATTGCAGCATTGAATCAATGGCAGAACAGCAGCACAATAGTCAGTCGCACACTGAACCCTGAATAGTTAGGCGGTGTATACACATGACAATCCCGGAATATTTTTCTTCCAGGACAAAATGCAGATGCAATTTATCCAGGGATAAATACAACATCTCTTCCTAACCTAATATTAGGGGGTTGAAGTGTTGTAGCAGCAGCGGTCCAGGAATGTCTGAGAGGTGATGGTTGTGTGTGGTATCTTTTATTGGACCAACTGTATGCTTGGGAGAGAGGCATCAGACAAGTTTTCAGGCACCTCTCTCAGGTTCCTCGGGACAGTTCATCTAATGCCATCCAGTTTCAGAAAACAGCATTATGGTTTTTAAACGAAGGGCACTGGAATTTGGGTCCCTGGCGCTAGCAGTGCAGTGAAGATGAGGCTAAGTGACTGGGCGCGCGTACCGCTCAGCTACCCTTGGTGACAACGCGTAATGGGTCTGCGCGCTGCGCGTGTACCTTGCTTCCTGTGAGCTGGGCGAGGTGGGGTTTCAGCTCTTCTCCGATCACCGAGTAAATCGCCACTAGGCAGAACACGCTTGCTTTACGAACGCTGCTCTCTGTGTTATCGTAACCCTAGAGGGGGAGAAAAGAAAGGATACATATATCAAACAGCTGCTTTCCGGGATCTTTCCAAGTACGTTTCATAATGGGCCGGGGAACACTTCCCTTGCGTGGGGCTACTGAGCCTGCCTCGTGCCAGCAGAATCAGATGGCAGCCTGGTGCCGAATGTCAGGGCCCTTGAAGTAGGCTCCTCACCGTGGCACCTAGGCACTGCAGAAGTGCCATGTGCTGTTATTGCAATGGAGGATTGCGAGGTCTCTCAACACGAGGAGTTTCTGCACGTGATTGCTATTTTGAAATCAGAAAAGGAAACACCATTCGGCTGTGTGTGATGCTGCTCTGCCAGGTTGAAATGACCTGCGTCACACTACTCAATACCTACAACAGAAGGTGCAAGGTGCAGCAGACACTATTTTAGGAAAGCAGATTACCGTGGGGCTGGCACCTCGCATCCCCACCATGCCAGGAGAGACCTCAGACCAGACTTTAGGTCAGCTCAAGCCACTGTTTCAGTTCAGCACCCATGCCATCGTTTATCGACAAGCAGCCCAGACAGCCGCTTCGGCATGCTGCACGCTACTCCTCCGGCTCGGGGTGACCTCTGCTGGGAGAGAGGCTGATAGGATCTTTGGGGAGGACACGGTCCTTTGATACGGCTGCTCGAGGCTTTCCGAGTTCCCCGCTGGCATTTCAACAGCTGCCAGGCCAGTATTTATACAGACAACCCAGTCCAGGGCTCCTCCAGGGAATTACAGCTCGGCTTCCTTCAGGGGAGAGAGCTACTAGCTTCTGGTCACAAAAGCATAATCCCGCTCCCGCTCGACTGATGCTAACGATCCTTGGCAATGCCGGGAAAGCGGTACAGGCTGTGCCACAAGAGCGCTTCTTTGCTCATCTCAGCTGCACGTACAGCCTGGTGCAGCTGCCATGGTATGACTACCCAAGCCAAACTTTTCTAAGATTGGAGGCTGGAGGAGAGCGGAAGTGCCTAAAGACTCCCCGTCACTAGTGCTGGGTGTCTGGTTGTAGCCGTGTTGGTCTAAGGACACAGGCAGGCAAGGTTCTTTGGGTAGATGAGATGTCGCTTATTAGACCAACTAGGTAGTTGGAAAAACTTCTTTGCAAGCTTTTGGGTGCAATCACCCTTCTTCAGTCTAGAGACTCCCTGTGCCCGAAGAAGGGCGAATGCTCTCAAAAGCTGGCAAAGAACTTTTTCCAACTACTCGGTGGGTCTAATAAAAGGTATCACATCTACTCAAAGGACCTTCCCGTCACTGGTGGCATTTCCCAGAGGGGTGCTGCAGAGTGGCTCAGGGCAGACCACTGGCCCCTACCAGAAGGGGCCCAACCCCTGCAGAGGGCTAAAGCTGCCTTGGTAGCATGGGCAGCACCAGAGATGTGACCAAACCACCTGGAGTTCACTTGCCTGCGAACCTCCTCGTATAACACCGCAGCACTAACCTCGAGCCTCTAGCAGAGGGCTCTGCCTTTGAGGGATAAAACCCTGTTCCAAAAGATCTGTATCTGGTAACTCTCAAATTTTGCTTTTTTGGCTGGGAAGGAACCATGCTCCTTGCTGCTGAGCTCTTCAAATGCATATGACTGCATTATATGATTACTAATACTCTGCACTGACTTTAAGGCACCGGATCACTTATCTAAAGAATGACAGGCAACAACCATCTCCTGTCGACAGGTCGTCTTTCTCCCAGAAGGATCCCAGAGGGTTCTTATCAATATCCGAAATGGACTTACATAGTCAGCATAGATTTCCAAGGCAGGATGATGTATGTCTTTAGCCATCGTGTCGACTGCCCATGTAAATCACGAGCCAGGCACACAAAAATTGACATTCAAAGATTTTAGAAGAATAATAAACAATGGATTCTCTTTCCTCTATACAGCCTGTGCAACACGCTGGCTAAACTTGCCTTCAGGTAGGTCTACCGATGCCCGCTATTGACTACTCTGGAAGTCCGTTTCCACCTGTAAAACTCAAACCCGAGACTTTGATTTCCTCTTCCCTAGATGAATGGGCTAAGAAAGCGTCAGAGGTAAAAAAAACAGGTGGTTCTCCATGTTAGCTTGTGGTTAGGTAGACAGCAGGGCAGGGCGGTACCTTTAGACTAACTTGTTCAGAGAGACGTGAGCTTTGGTAGGCTGTGTCAGGTGCTACAAGTGGACTGGCAGATATCAGGGGCACTAAACAGAAACCACTGCTGAGACGGGCGAAGCGAGTTGAAGAGATCAAAGGGGGTTGACAAAGCAGTCAACCCGAGGGTGCGCCCTTGTTTTCCGGCCCTTTGTATTTAAATGACCGTCGTCCTTCTATTTAGTACTCCTGCTCTCTGCATTCATAGCATCTGACGAAGCTGGCTATGAAAGCTCACCTCTCTGAACCTGAAGGGTCATATAGAGAGGATGGAGATAGGCTAGGGCTGTCCGACTGGCATCCTGTGGGCTCCTGCCCAGCTATCACTGCACCCATTGCCCTTGAGACGGCAGTGCCTGGTGTCTCTGGTCTGTACCTGTAACAATCCCGGAATGATATCAGGAAGGAGCTGATGTAAGGATTCCTTCGAGATCCTCTCAATGACTTTCGTCTGCATTTTGATGGCAGCTAAATTAATCGGGTAGTCGGCAGTTTGAATGATCGGACACAGCACTTTGATGCACTGCTCCGGGTGTATGGAACTGGCCAGGGTGGAGGCGGCTTCCTCTGCAGCTCGAACGACCTGGAAAGAAAAAAAAAAAAAAGCAAAATATTGATAGGCTCATGCTTCGCACACATTACAAACCCATTCGTGGACCATGAAGGCTGGCATGGGGACTGGCTGACGCTGCTCCATAATTCATCTCTGTCACGAGAAGGGCATTTCTGAGCATGTGTAGCTCAGGGAACTGGTCACATTTGCCTTCGCTAGCTTTCTATCACAAACAGGCCACAGGCAACAAAAATCAACACCATTGATTCATGCCTTGAACATCTCATTTGACCTCCTACATGACGTAGACCATATATTTCCACCCAGTCAACCTAGGTAACATTCAGATGTCCCTTCTCATCACGCTGTCTGAATGACTCACAGCAATTTATGTACTTATCCTCACGATACCCCTGGGAGGCAGGGCAACGCCACTGCTTCCATTTGTCTGCTTGGGGTTAGACCGTAAGTTTGTGGCATGCTGTCACAATGCAATCTTGGTTTCCTGGGTCCTGAGCTAACACGTTGAGCCCTGGACCGTCCTCTTTCCCATCTTCCATCCAGTTATCCTTGTGCTGGGCCCAAGAACCTGCATTTGGCCAAAGGCCTCCAAGTCTTGACTTGAAGACAGAAAGAAATAAAGAATCCACCAACTTTTCTTGGTGGTTTGGTAAAAAGTGAGCAGGCTGATCCTGCTCACTGTTCTTGACAGCTGCCTAGATGTCTCCTTGAGACAGGGGTGGACCTAAGCCATTCCCAGACATGGGCATCAGTCCCGAAAACCTGGCCCAAAATTGGGTGGTTGTTCGCGGTCTCCAACAAGGCAGCCAAGGATGGGACAATTTCAGTAGCTGTGATGATGCAGAAATTATCTATCCCAACCATGCAGTTGATCCAACAAGGGATACTACCCCAAGAGATCCTTGCCTCTCCAGTTTTACACACAAAATATGTGAGGCCAAGATTTCGTGCACTAGCAGAGGGGGATGCTGTATGCTTTTGGAAGCCAAGAAAGGAAGGGAGAAATAGCAATATTTATTACAAGGGAAATCAAGGGCATTGGTACCAAGGAACTGAACTGATGTCAATGAAACCAGAAGATCATTAAATATCTCTGGATACCTTTAAGAAACACTTGGGTGCTTATCTCCCTGGGGTGATCTGACCTCCTGCCCTGGGGCAGGGGGCTGGACCCGATGATCTCGCGAGGTCCCTTCCAGCCCTAACGTCTATGAAATCTTTGAAATCTTTGAGAGGTTTCCTTTATAAGAAATTAGTTTTTTCTCCTTTTTTTGACACTGCAGCTTTTGATGTCTTCTTTCCCTGCAGCAGAATCAAGCTCACTGTAGCCAATGCAAAAGACTCAGGAGAAGGCTCAGGTATATCTGATCATTAACTCAACACCATCCATAGGCAAGTAAATTTGATATTAAAAAAAACCTATAACGAGCTGGAACCTCTTCATTCAAGGTCTTGCTTTGTGAGGAGCCTGAATGCTTCATTCATAAACGAACGAACACAAAGAGCAAGTAATACATTGGGCAAACAGCAGAGAATTGGACTAGCTTGGTACATTCCTTACTAGAAAAATGACAGGATTTTAGTATACGCCCACAGACAGGCTCTAGACTCATTGGGTGCCTATACACGAGCGGGGAGGATGGTCCAACGTGTGCAATTCCAGTGCGTCAGAGCAGACTCAATTAATCGAGTCTACAAGAGCGTGGCCGTTACCGCGCTCCGGCAGCCTCCCGCGTCTCGTGTATCAGCATCCCCGGTCTTCCAAATGGCAGCGGGGACGCTTTATCTAACGCTCGTTTGACAATAAAGATAAAGCAATAGATAAAGTGCCCCCGCTGCCATTTGGAAGCACGCGGGATGCTGATACACACGATGCTCCGGATGCTTTAATTAGAGCAGCTCTCGGAGCCGCTCTAATTAAAGTGCCCCCCTCCCACTCCAGGAGCACGTGTATAAATTCCCATGAGTCAACAACTAATACACTAACAACTGAACCAAAGTGAACTAAACGTACCCAGGCCCTTTTCCTGCAAGTCTTGTATATATAACCTTTATATCCATACAAAATTGCAGTTTTAGGAACCATTTCATGAGTTAGAAAAAACTTCTGTAAACGACTACTACTGCAATATAGTCAGTGCTATCCTCCACAAAATGAACAACGGGTACAAATGGCTACACAGGATGCATCTGTTTTGGCACTATAATTTGAGAAAGAAGCATCTTTGGGTTAAAACTTCTGGAAATTTCTAACGGCGACCATTTTTTTTTGGTTACCGTTTAGGAAAAAAAACCCAATTCTGGTACTTTGGAGTTGTGGGAAACTTATCACGACATGGCTTGATTTTCTCTGGCATTCATATCATTCAAGGCTATCCTTTTTCATTCTGATATTTTATAGGTCGGTAATTATTCACGTTGACTAGAACTGTGGGAGAGCAGGATTTACGATACTAGGAAGTGCCAAATTAGTTGGTATAGAAACAAGTTTTATTGTACTTAGGCCTCCAATTTTTACAAACAGAAATTGTCCATCAGTCTCCGGGTAGCTGGTCTAATATATTTGCACAGCAGCTGGTTATTTCTCTTGGGTCATTTCTTCATGAAATTATTTACCCCAAGAAAGGACAAACTACTTAAGGCATTTTATGAACCAGACAGCAGCCACTCAGCCTTGCCTGGCTCCCCGATCTGGGAAAGCTGGGCTTTAAAATGAGATTCCAGGTCTTGTGAGATGACATCAAGCAAACAATATCTACATTTCCGCTTTGTTTCTACAAACCGTGCATGAACTGTACGTTCAACTTGAATCATTTGCTAAAGTCTCCTTGATGTCACTGGGGTCCAAATCTGCACTTACGGGCTTCCCTAACTTGGGGGCTTTGCAAACGTGTCGCTCCTTTGCTCCCCTACTACACGTGCATGCACACTAGTTCAAGTGAAAAGCTGCTGCAGGGAATAGGGTACCTTACAGTTTCTGCCAACCAAGTCTGATTTACCAAGACACTCCTCTCTCATTACACCTACGTGGTGTCTGAAGTCAAAATGCTACCACGCTGCATCTCAGGTGACCAAGAGAAGTCACTGGTCCTGGATTCCCTCCAGCCTTCCCTGCACTGTCCAAACTCTGACTCATTTCAACAAGCTCAGGCCTTGGTTAATTGTATGTGCCGTCTTTCACCCGCTGGGCCAAGTCTACATCTGGATACGTGTGGGGAACCCCTATGGGATTAGGTATGGACGGACCTAGTAGACACCCAAGGTAGGGAAACGGACCCTAACATCCGATTCACCCATAGTGGGACACCCCAGCAGAGTTACTACACAAGAGAAAGTTTCCTTATGGATGGATATTGACTCCGAGGTCCGATGGCAAGAAGAGACTAAAATTATACTCGAGTTGGTGACGACGTTTTGCAGTGGGACACAGCCTCATGCACCTCGCAGGCCATATATAACACACACTATCAACAAAACAAGATCCTTTTCATGCAGGGCTTTCTCCTGAGCAGTGGAGTGAACCCACAGGGATCGACGAGAGCCACGTCCACACAGTGGTCCCTTGGCCGTCGGCGACGGCCAAAAGCTCCTGAATTGACAAAAACGCCAAAGCGCACAAAGATAAAGATATGACAAAAATGGTGCCCGTATCTTTATCTTTGTTCACCCACCTTTAAAGAGGATGGCTGGCATGAGCATACAACATCCAGCAACAACTCTTGCTTCTTTGTTGGCAAGTATGGTCTATGGGTCCAGACACCGGGATATTAAAGGAATGGCCTTATCAGACTCTGCTAGAGGGAGCAGAAGGTCAGGTAAAATGAGAAGCAGCGACAGGCCAGTCTTAAAACATGAGACTTTCAAAAAGCAATAGTAGTTAAGGAGTGAGGTCAATAAGGTGTACACAACAAGACTTGGACAACTCTGTGAGATCCCTAATGCAAGATCACACCAGACTGGAGAGGTCCCGATGCTTTGGCACTTGTGAGGTCTTAGCGTTTACGGAAGAGCCGCGTGCAACGCGGGCCGAATGGTTTTACCTCTTGATAATCACGAGCTAATCATGCGATGAGTTGGCTAATTAAATGACATCTGACAAAGGACAAGGGGCCCAAGAATGTGGATCTGGAGGGAACACTGCACTTTAGAGAAGCAGGTTTTTCTCCTTTTTCAAATATTTGCCTTGTTCGAACAACTAAATGCAGCCTGACTTGTGCTGATGTAACCCAAGTGTCTCTGTTGGCAGACTTTGGATGCAGCTCTGACGGCGAGTCACAGCTATTCTCCTCTAGTGCGGTCTCCCAAGGGTGGGTAATGGTTACAACCCCACTACCTTGGGGAGAGCAGCAGGAGCAAATAGAGACCCCCCCCTAGTCTGACAGACAGACTCTTAGCTGCATACACTTAAGGAATACCATATTTCAGTGTATAAGTCAATACAGTGTATAGTTTGACCCCGATTTTCCAGTGTAAAAAGTTAGGATTTTCGTAGGCACGGTGTATAAGTCAGTGCCAGGCTCGACTGGCGTGACTCCACCCCTGCGAGTGGTGCTGCCTGGGCTGAGTGCTGAGCCAGGCCCTGTCGGCTGCAAGCCCAGCCCCACCAGCTCACAGGGGTTGGGGCCAAGCTCAGTGCTCAGCTGGCATGGCCCCATCCCCTACAAGTGGCACCGGGCGCAGCGCTGGCTGGCATGGCCCAGGCAGCGCCGCTCACAGGGGATGGGGGTGCGCCAGCCGAGCACTGAGCTTGGCCCCGGCCCGAGCCCCAGTCCCTGCGAGCTGGCGGGGCTGGGCTTGGTGCTCGGCTGGCATGCCCCCATCCCCTGCAAGCAGCGCTGCCTGGGCCATGCCGCTCACTAGGGACAAGGTGCGTAAGTCAAGGTTGGATTTTAAAAGTAGAAATTGGTCTTCAACCCTTGACTGATACACCATGAAATAAGGCAGCTTTGAAAGCAACAGGCCTGCTCGACCCTCGGAGCAGACGCCAGCAATGCCTCCTGATGGCAGCA